TAACTATCAAATTAAAGAAACCGTCTCTAGTGATCAAAATGTTGTAATTAATGAATCCAATAACGACTGCACATATTCAGTTGATAACCATAGAGTATTTTATTATGATATTGCCCATACACTAAAACCACTTCGTCAAAGTCTATCCGTCATCCTCATAAATGCTAGATCAGTTCTTAACAAACATTTAGCATTATGTACGTTAGCCTCTATATGCAATCCGTCGCTGATCATGATCACTGAAGCCTGGTGCTCAAGTGACATTGTGGATGGTAGCTTATCAATTGATAAGTACAATCTTTTTCGAGGGGATAGGGAAACAGGTCGTGGGGGTGGAACACTCATATACGTTAAACAACCCATTTGTGCAACGCATTTTAGTCACCCTATTCTGTCACAACTTAATGATTCGGTGTGGGTCGAAATAAAAGTTCTCAGAAGTAAACCTATCCTTATAGGGTGCGTATACCGACCGCCATCATCCAACCGCGAATACGATAACGTACTCAGCAACATATTTAGTGTTGCATCCAATCTCCCCTTCAGTTATAATATAATTGGAGGTGACTTCAATTTGCCTGATATATCATGGCGTACACTTCGTGGACCCTCGAGGTATGATAATCTTCTTAATTCCATCATTACTGGAGGATGGACGCAACACATAAATGTACCCACTAGGTCCAATAACATTCTTGATCTTATATTCACGATCAACGTAGCACCATCTACAATTCATGTGGGACATGAATTCCCAGGTAGCGATCATAAAATAGTTGCATGTTCGTTTAACATTTCCCCAGAAACTATACACAGAAACGAAGTTAGTCGGACACCTATAAGACCATACACGCGGGTTGATTGGGACTTGTATCAGGACTTGATTAGATACTCTAATTGGGATTCCTACTTTACCAATGACTCCTTAGAGGAAGTCCTTAAAAACTTCTATGACAATATACAGTCGGTTAATGATGTCATAGCGCCTGTGAAACTGATTAAATTCAAAATCCCTCAAGGTGATTTTATTCCAATATCATTAAGAAGAAGTTTGCGGAAGCATTCATTAAGTTACTATAGACATGACGACTTATCGTCGTTAATCGCTATCAAATCAATCCTCATTAGAATCCATGAGTTAAAAAATCTAAGTCTTAGGAATAAAGAAACGCGGGCAATTCAGTCGCCACATAACACTGGAGAAATAGCCAAACTCTTCAAAAGTAGGTTAACTAACTCCAAATCAACATATCCAAAAATAATACACCTAGGTGGCATTACTCACGAAAGTGCTGAGGATATATGTGAGGTGTTTAGCACGCACTTTGCCAAACTGTACACTCTAGAAAATGACCAGGATATAGATTTCCCTCGTAAAACAGAAAAGTGTCTAAGCGATGTAGTCTTAAACGCCCAAGAAATCGATAAAGCTATCACAACTCTTAAGCTTACTAATACTCCCGGCCCAGATGGAATGTCTTCCGTCCTCTTAAAAAATGGTGGAAATGACATGAATCTACTTCTTCTCAAGATATTTTCAACTTCGATAAGGAGTGGAACATATCCAAATAGCTGGAAGAAATCCTACGTTGTACCCATTCACAAAACCGGACCTACAGCGGACATAGATAATTACCGCCCCATCAACATTACTTCCGTAGTTTCACGTGTGATGGAAAAGATTGTAAAGAAGCAAATTGTTCAGTATTTGCTCTCGAATGACTTAATATCCCCTTTCCAATACGGTTTCCTAAATAGAAGATCGTGCATTACGTGCCAGTTAGATTATTTCGATCACATTACTGAATGTGTAGACAAAGGTCGTTCGGCAGCAACATTATTTCTAGATGTTAGGAAAGCTTTTGATAAAGTCCCACATAAAAGACTCATACTGAAACTCCTATCTTATGGAATAAGTGGAAGGCTTCTTGAGTGGATAACTTCCTTTCTTACAGGAAGAGAACAGTTAGTTAAAGTCAACCATCACTTATCAACATCCAAACCGATAACCAGCGGCGTGATACAAGGTAGTGTTCTTGGCCCTACCCTATTCATTGTATTCATAAATGATATTGTCTCTATGATCAAGTATGGCAAGCCATACCTCTTTGCAGATGACCTCAAAGTTGTCTATGATTTTGACTATAATGATATGAATATTGTTAGTAAAATCCAAGAAGACCTAAATAGTCTATGTAATTGGAGTGAAAAGTGGCAGTTAACGTTCAATCCAGCTAAATCTGGGATAACATACTTCGGACGTTGGAAACCTAGCATGTGTCTATACATGTACGGTGACCTTGTCTCAAACACAAACACAGTCACAGATCTCGGGATAACATACTCAGATCTTACCTTTACTGAACATGCAAATAAGGTGGTATCTGATTGTAAACGTCTAACCGGCTTTGTGCTACGCAACTTTTACACTCCAGAAGCCAGATTAGCCATATATAAGATATGCATTCGCCCCAAACTTGAATACTGTGCCCACTTATACAGTAGCTTCAAGTCGGCAGACAGAAAAAAGTTGAAAGTGTCCAAAGATTCCTTACGAAACGCATATTAGGCTATGGTCAGCAAATAGAATACCTTGACAGATGTATTCGACTGGACTTAGAGCCCTTATGGTTAAGGAGAGTGAAGTGCAATTTATTTCTCTTATTCAAAGTTATAAGAAAGCACTGTAACAGTAACTCGTCCATAACCTGGGCTAATCCTAAATCGTATGGACTACGCAACCACAACTACCTTCTCAAGGTTAACACCCATAAACTCACCACTAGAGCTAACTTCTTCACCATTAAATATTGCAAACTTTGGAACCAACTACCCTCTGAGATAAGATCCTGTGAAAGGCCTGACAGTTTCAAAAGGAGCCTAGAAAAACATATAAACATGTCCACCCTAGCCCGCCTCAAAGATCTCAACTGCTGGTAGAGTGGAGAGACAATGGCTTTTCAATATTTAACTACGGAAAGTACACTAGTCCCAATACCAATATAATAACACTTAGTAATTATGTAGGTTCAATACTTGAAATTCGATTGTCATTAAAATACTTAAAATGATTAAAATAGCTATGCGGCAAGTGTTCTCTTGCTTTACCATGCTTGTTTCCCTTATAACACTCAGTTATTGAGCCTAATGTATTCTTTGATAATACGAATTATGACACTGACTATGCTCTTATTATACATAGATTGATTTACTTTACGACTACCTGTAGTACTAACTACCCTTCTGTAGTATTGTTAAACAAATGCTGAAATTTTGTTGGTTCTGTTAATATCTTTTTATAATATGTTTAGACACGTTACTTTGCAATGTCAGATGTCTACTATATACAAGACTGTCATGATAATTTAGTACACTAAGTCCTGCCAACCGACCTTACCTTCAGTTCATACTACCTACATTGATCCCTAACTATATTGTTCTGCTGAATCTTGCTTCACTATTCACAAAACCTATTCTTTTTATTCTTTAAGGTTCTAACTTCTTGTAAAGTAATCTGTTCATTAGGACGCATGCATACATATATAATGTTCATAAAGATGTACGCGGAGACCTATTGGAAGCACTCATTAAGAAAGCTAGGGAGATGGAATATGAGGTACGAACATGTCTGGTACCAAGCAATATATTTGCGGTAGCCATAATAATCATAGTCTCAGAGCTTAACATCAAAAAAGGAGGGAGGGTGGCGTTAGCTGATCAGTAGATATGGTGGGGGTCACTAAGGTGAATCGCCCCATTCTGCAGGAACAGCAATATACAAATTAAAGGCTCGAGATATTTCTGATTTTTATGAGGGCTTAGATCTTTATCTTGAAAAAGATAATAATGAACGCCTTGACAGATCATGCTTCTACCTTTAAATATATACTATTCGCTCAGCCTATTGTTGAGATGCGACCATGTGGGATGTGCACAGATTTATGGGGCATCTTATAAACTAACTTGCTGTCCATTGACTGATCTTTAAATACCACTTCACAATGTCTTATCTCATTCATTTTCCAATAACGTCTTTACTTGATCCTCATTATATCCATTAAACCTAACATTTTACAGCTCTTTATGACTTATTATATTCCTACTCTCTGAAGGGTACGGTTGTACATTAAATGCACAAAAAGGTATAAAACAAAAACAACTGGCACAACTGAGGATAAATGTATTAAAACCAAAAGTGGACATCATGATAGTACGAGATATACGTGTAGCATTATACATTGCAAATGAACGTTGTCAGCCTAGGGAGTTTTCTTTTTTAATGCATTTATTAATGATACTTGCACTTACCTATTTCATTACAATTTAATGATTCACCTCAGCACTTTTACTTTTCTAAAACAGCTTTCAATCCCTTGTAAACGTTGTACTTACCTCAATATTGGTTGGTTATCGTATGCCGACAACCACGGGATGAAAACGAAACGAAGTCGATTTTCCCGCTCAACCTGGAGGACAATTGTACAATTCAATAACTATACAGCCTAGTTCAGACAATGTGTATTTATATATATATCAAATATTTAACTGTTGAAACATTATTAACTTGTAGACAATCTACGATTTGATATTATATCATACTTGATCGTGCCTGTAAAAATGGCATGCATTTTCATGTAAATTTATATGTTTATATGAGAATATACATTATTATTAAATAAACTGAAAAATAATGTCCTCCTTACCTTCTGAACAACTTGTCCTTATTCCAGGATTATAATTTTTTCTCCTATGAGCCTGAGTTATCTCTACGAAATAGCAATATTACATCAGTTAAATCTTCCCCCAAAACCAAGGCCACTTGAAACCAATAGCAACATAGCAACAAGAGTCATTGAGGGGATATGCAATAAAGTCGCTCGACCTTGAAGTGCACAGCCTCTCCATAAGTTGGTGTGTGCCTTTATCCATTGCCCACTTTCAGCATACTGGTTGCAATGATTAGTGTTTCAGGCGGACTGTAGCAAAATATCGGTGTAATGAGGAATTTAAGATAGTTAGAGGGTAGTGCCGTCTATCTCGCGAAGACGATATTGGATTTTGAATGACTAATGAGCGGTCACTATGTTCCATGCGCTACGCACAACGTTAAATTTACGGAGTCACTGTGTGAATAGATTGTTAGAGTCTCCTTTTTGAGCCCCAAAAATGTAACCAAGTCCAGTCAAATTCAGTATGGATCATCTGTTGGGGTCTTCAATTCCGGTGAATATATGCGTGAAGTAATTCCATATAATGTAATTGGGAAATAAATTAAAGGGGACTGAAGTTGAAGAACGTGATGAGTTGTACAAAAAGCTGTTTATTACGGTCAAGGGCCATGAACCTATGGTACTGAGGAGTTACGAGACATTTGTCAAACAGGTGTGTGAAAATCTCTCACTAAACCTTCAAAGGTAACGTCTAGGTTTTACTAATTGTGTATGTAGTGATACGCGTAACCGCCCGAAGTTTCTACGTCTCTCTATGAACAGGTCTCCTTTCATTTACAAAAAGCACCAGCGCCAATATGAGTTCCGTACACACTATAAATATTTCACGGTAAACATGTATGCTTAATATGATTTCCCTACAGGTTAAACACGTAACTGGATGTACTGCGGACGTATTTCTTGAATACATACAGCGGAATCTGCCTGAAGGTGTAGCTATGGAAGTTGAGAAAGTAAGAGTGAATGGTTTTTGGCTAATATTGTTCATCAAATTGTATGTCTTTAAATTGCCGAGATTGGCCCCCTTTTTGTATGATTTGATGCACTGTGACTTAGGCACGACACTTGATGGCAGCAGAAAATTATGTCCTAAATTAAAATGAACCCTTGTAATAAGAAAAAGAACTATCATTTATATCCTGTGTAGCTGGCTTATATGAGTGTCCATTCCGTTGTTTTCAGTTGTCTTAAACAATATGGCTGCACAGCTGTCCCATGTTGGAAAATTCGTCATAATAGTTAGTGAAATTTTCTAGAGTGCACCTAAAATTCCAAGCCAAAGCAGATGGTAGTTCTCATAAATTGATTAGAGGTTTCGCCTGCGTTTCGGATTGTGAGGGTGATTGTTACTTCCCGGCTGCCCACACCGTGGAAGTTGGTTGCGTGACCGCAGAGCCTAGGGGACAACTGCTTGAGGCCGGTCACACGCGGCCTGTTTTTGTTTGTTCTCTTTTGTTTGGTGTGCCTCAGTAGCATACTTATCACTCCTGCCCTGTGACACGGCAGCAGGAAGCGCGGTCGTTGTTAATCCGGGCCACGGCCGATCGGGCATGAAATTTTGTGATTTTGTATTGGTCATGATGTTGGATTGGGTAGCTGCTTTTTGTTTAACCGCTATCCAAACAACCTGTCTGGCATGGTAGGACCTCAAGAGACATAAGTCTCAGCCAGTATAGCTTGAATAGATCATTGCGGTGTTCAAGCCCGACCACCACGTCAAGGTAGCTTTCGGTCGGGCATAAATTGATTAGATAATGTATTTCCTTTCTCTATCGAAATCATGACTTATGCATTCTGAAAATTGGTTGCTAATGCTTAGTGAGAGAACCGGAAGTATAGAATTTCAGTAAAACTAGGTGTATTCTCAAGCCTTCTATCTACTTACTGTAAGTGGACAAGGTAGTCATTAATAATCACTGATCATTGTTACACACAACCATATCACTTGCTGTGTGACTTGTAGAACAGTGGTCGTTTTCATCGTAAGAGATATGAATGGGCTGGATTCCTCTGTGTAATATATAGTACATTTAACGGCAGTGCAGTAGATTTAGGATTTTGGATAACATCAGTCGTAGGCGTACGTTATTTTCACCACGTGGTAAGTACTAACAATTTCACTTGGTCTTTTATTATTTCAAAATACAAACAAGATATATTTATGTAACAAATCAAAATTGCTCTGACAGTCTACACAACTTTCCTAACTTTCTACATAATTTGCTGTTTGTTTGAGAATGGCTTTATCACATGTTGATTCGAACTGTATTACATACATTAGAGATAGAAAGTTCTTTTTGTAGTTTGAAGTCTAATAGATACTATGTCGAGAGAAATGGTACAGTAAATCCACAAAGAGACGCAAATAATAAAGTCGAACATGTTCATTGTAGTATACGTAAAGCTGACGAGTTGTCCAGCAACTGTGGCATAATGGAAAGTCAAATTAATGCTAATAATTGTGAAGCTAAAGTTAATAAGCAGTTTGAAATTCCTGTTTTGTATTATCTATCTATAGTGCGGATATTTTCTTTCAATTGATTGTGAAGAATATTTAGAAAGGAAGCATATGAATCAATATTGATCTATGGGCGGTCGATCTATTGCTATATCATCTCCACTGTTTGAAATATCTAGGGTACATGTTACACTTATTCGGACACAACTTCAAAGACAAGTACAATTAAGTGAAGTAGGATTAGATTGGAAAGTAATTAAGGATAGTTAGACTCATGTACCGTCATTTCATGAAATTAGTTAGATTTATTCTAAACAATGTAGTGAAATTTAGATTGCCAGCCTAGAGTCCTTGGAATGATGAGAATCAGTGGTAGGATACTCATAACAAGTTACCTCGAAATTGTGCACAAGTGAAGCAGGTGGTTCAGCCATTTTCATTGTCCGAATCATGGAAAGCGTCAGTACACTTCATCCAATGGTTCACTCCATCAAACATATGCTTGTCTATTGTCTCTGTCTGTCTGTTTTCGACATAGAACTTTACACAAATGTGCGGAAGTTCAAGTCGTCACGCTCCGTGTAGCACGGGAAGCAAGAGAAGAAAGTACAAGAAAAGCATAATAGAGACAGTGAGCAGAGGTGTGAGACAAAGGAATAGTAGTAGCGAAGAACAAAACAGTTTCATTGGAGATCATAAGTCACAGGGAGTGGATGCATCTGCGCCACAGAGAACGATTTTGAGCCATGTCACCAATTGTTTCCAACCATAGATTTTTACCGTCCCGAGGACCCCAGCCTGGAAGTCTACACCTTCCTACGTGGCTTAGACCAACTGTTGTGGATTTCATTGACTGGTTCCAAGTTTTTGTCTGACCTCCGCTAGCTTTTTTCCAGCCTGACCCTATATCCGCTAACATTGCTCGTCGAGGGAGGAGATGGCTTGGTATACGTAACACATGTCCTAACCATCTCAGTCTTTGTAACTTCACAACTTTGTCGATTGATTTCCCCTGTTTACCTAGAACTCTACGCCTAACCTCCATGTTGCTCACCTTATTATGCCACTTTACACAGGAAATAGAGCGCAGGCACCTATGATCAAACACAGTAAGTCAGTGTTTTCATGTCTTCCACTCTCAGTGGCCAGGTCTCACAGCCATAAAGGAGGACGGAGCGGACTGATGAGCAATACACCCGCCCTTTGGTCGATAGTCGAACATCTCGTCTACGCCAGAGTCGGCGTAAACTGGCAAATGCGAAACGAGGCCCCTGTATTCGTGCTGAGATTTCGTCAGAGATCAACCCGTTGGCACTGGCTGATGGTACTTCCCAAATAAGTGAAGTGGTCAACGTGCTCTACCACTTCACTTCATATTTTTAAACTAGGCGTCGATGTAGTCCAGTCCTGTCTATTGTATAATCGTTCTAATTTTTTTTACAGTTTTGTTAATTGTGATAATTTGAACGGTTGGATTTTTGCAGGATTGACCACGAGCTCGCATCAGTTAGTGGACCATTGGAAAACCGCTGTTCCGTCTTGCTGTTCGGGACTCCTTAATAGTACGCACCCACCGGTGGGGTTCGAATCCAGGACCTTCCGGTTACGAGGCGAGCTCGTAGGTCATTCATACACTTGGATCGGACCCATTGGTCCATGAGTTGCAACTTCTGCCAATTCGTGATATGTATATATACAGTTGTAATAATAATAATTTTAATAATAAGCAAGGGAAAAAAACCGTGGCTAAACTTGAATTAATGATTCTTCTCACCAAGAGTGCTTCTTCCCTTAACCCGCTTGGCTTTTTTCCTTTGCTTATTATTACAATTATTATTGTTAGTATTCGTCGTAGTTTATGCCCTTCATTCTCTCAATACTATCGAATTTTCCATTTATACTATCAGGACTTATTATTAGTGGTGATATTGTGGTGAGAGCTGGCTGTTAGCCAAAATTGGTGGACAGTAATTTACGTCAATGCATATGTCCCCAATATTGGTCTTGAGAAAAATGAGAACAAAGGCTTCGCGTAGGCGAATACAGTTAACATATAGATGATCTGACATTCAAGAAACAGCCACAAAGAGATGCAAGGTTAACTTTCCGTGAGAAACAACCAATCAGAAGACTGTTTTTCTGCTAACAGTAATCAATAATATGCACATGTAAATCTATAAATGTGTTGATTTCCTTAATAAACGATCTGTTGTCTGGCCCTTGTCTTCTGTTGTTACAATACTATCTCTTTTCTCAGTATATGCCTCCAACTGTTTCATTTCACACATTCGTTATTTCATGATGAACCTCTCACTGCAGTCTTACTATCTCCCCCTCTTCAATACATACCACTTAGTACTAGCCACTCACTCACCTGATACCTTTGATAACCTTGTTCTGACTTGTCACTTTTCCTACCCCACACTCGTAAAATCTATTATGACTAATCACTACCATTGTCTCCTATTTCACCGAAATATTTTGTAATCGATTTCAGCCCAGAGCACGTTTGTCACACAATAATGACTATTTATTTGACACCCCATAACTGATCTGTTATTCTACGTTAACGAAAATGTATCCGCCGCATAACTGGCCATTATTGTAACGGACATTTTTGTGTCAACTTTTTTATCATCGTTTCGGTGTTATTTTTGTGGTCAGCAGTGAGTTCATTTTATTTCTAAATGAAGGAAGACATAAATATCTTTTTTCCACCACTAAAATTTCCCTTCATTATTTTTCTAAATTTTTCAGCATCGTTTGGAACGCCTTCCTGAATATTTGGAGACTTCGGAAAATTCTTAGCATTCTTATTATTATCACACTAGTGTACACAATTTATGTAAATATACTTTTCTATAGTAATTTTCTTCCTTCATTGTTTATGTATTTATTTATTTGATTCCAATGGAATCTTTGTCGTATTTTGAGATAATGTTCCCCAAAGTAATGAATTTAAAGCAGAATATATTTTAGGCTGAATTCAGATTTTGAGCTATAAAAGTTCTAAGAGAAATAACATACTGGTCAACTCACTCATATCAGTCAGAAATATTGATCAACAGCGATCTTAATTTACCCTAAAACAAGCGATAAAGCTTAATAAAACAGGATTTAATGAATTCAGACAAAGCCTCAGGATGATCGGGGGTGGGTGATTTGCGCTGCGGGTTAGCCACCCCTCCGCACACCTCTTGAAATGCTCCCATATGACCGGGCGTCTTACATAGTCTCTCCTGAGGAAGTCCTACTCACTGCCTTCACGTGGCGTGGGTGTTTTTCACCAAAGTGAGAGGGCAAAAGCGGATGCCCGGCGCTCTTCACCGGGTTGACTGTCCATTGGATGACAGTCTAGGGGAGATGGCTAAACCCTGATTCCAAACCTCCAACGACTGGCGTATGAAGCTCACTGGAGCTCACCGGCAGACGTATAGACAAAGGGCTTATTGGATGCCCTGGATGTCTGGCCCCATTCAAAAAGGCGTATGAACCGGACTCCGGTCACCGGCTGACAATGGATAGTGGACTCCCTACTCCACTCCTACTGCCTTGTAGGTCACACTTGGTTGTGTAAAGGCTAGAGCTGCACTCTCAAACAAAGGCCGAGCGGTTCTGGGGACATCACTCGTACCCAATTCCCATGAAACTTCATGGTTCATGAAGCCGGCTCATCCTCCCGGAGGAGATAGCCGAAGTAAAGTAAAGTAAGTAAATAATTCAGACAAAGCAATAACAAGACGTAATTTGTCTGAAACCTGTAATGTATTTGCGCAACACATTTCCAACAATCTGATCACACATGGACTTGTTATAGGAATATATATATATGAAATTAATAGAGTTAAGAGGTGAGAAAATAAACCACTTAGGTCAAGTTAAAAGGCGGACATATTGAAGGTCAAAATAATAATGATGATCACTAAACCAAATAACAGAGGTAATAGTACATCTGCCCTGGATGGTATCAAAACAAAGTTTACCAAGGAAGGTTTAGTATGATGACGAATATGCACTGAAGACACACTTGATGAAGAAGAAAGGAAGTTGACGCTAACTCTGGTTAATAACAATTATCCAGACAAGTTTATCAAGAGATATAAAGTAGTCAGAACACCAAGACCCACTCTCCAACTCACCCCTAAGAAAGACAAGTACATCAAGCTACCTTATATGGGGCATCATAGCAGGTTGATAACTAGACAAAGATTGAACGCTGTTGTTAAAAAAGACTTTATGCGGCTAATATAATAATAATAGAGAATGTAAAGCCGTTATATCCATCTAAGCCCTTTGAAGATGCGAAAAATGATGTCACATCCCATTGTATTTACCAATTTGAATGTACGCGTGGACACACATAGATAAGGAGGACTCATTGATCTCTGCAAGTAACGGTGGGCTTCAGAGTATATTCCTAAATGGCTCCAGAAACAAATGGAATCTTCAGAACTTATCAACGGTGAGAACAGGAGACCTAGCTCTTCTATTGCAAAAGATATTATAGAGACAGGTCATAAAATTGATGTTAACAGATCTTTTAAACCTATCTATAAAACGTGTTTGGGGCGTTTCCTGAAGTTTGTGGAGGCCCTAGCTGGTGATTAGGAAGCTTAAACCACCTTTATGTGTTCAAAAACAATTCGTCATCACACTAAACCTTCCTTGGTAAACTTTGTTTTGATACCATCCAGGGTAGATGTACTATTACCTCTGTTATTTGGTTTAGTGATCATCATTGTTATTTTGACCTTCAATATGTCCGTCTTTTAACTTGACCTAAGTGGTTTATTTTCTCCCCTCTTAACTCTATTAATTTCATATATATATATATATATATATATATGTATATATATATATATTCCTATAACAAGTCCGTGTGTGATCAGATTGTTGGAAATGTGTTGCGCAAATACATTACAGGTTTCAGACAAATTACGTTTTGTTATTGCCTTATCTAAATTCATAAAGGGAACCAACTGTTTTGAGTTTAATGAATTCATTAAATTGTGGTCGAACTCTTCAGCCAAATACTCCACATACAATGATATATATACTATTAAAAATACTTTGGGAAATATAAGATTGACAAGCAAGTGAACTACATTGAGTTAATCATGCGAAACGACAAGTGTCAATGCTCAGTAGTCCGCTCCGTCCTCCTTTATGACTGTGGGACCTGGGCATTGAGAAGTTATGAAATACCTATTTCGCTATCTGTCTTTAATCATAGGTTTCCGCGTTCTATCTCCCGTGTGAAATGGTATAATAGGGTGAGCAATATTGAGGTTAGGCGTCGGTCGAGTGCTAGGTAGGTGGGAGGGGAAATCAATCGACGAGGCTGTGAAATTACATCGACTGAGATGGTTAGGACATGTGTTACGTATGTCTAGTCACCGTCTTTCTCTACGAGCAATGTTAGCTGATATAGGGTCAGACTGGAAAGGAGCTAGCAGCGGTCAAACCAAAACCAACTTGGCTTCATCAGTCAATGAAACCTACAACAGTTAGTTTAAACCATCCACGTAGGGAGATGTAGACTGCTGTCTGGTTGGGGTTCTCGGGACGGTAAAAACCAATGAAGGCTGGAGACAGTTGGTGATATGGGTGGTGCAGATGCATAAACTCCTTGTGACTTATAATGCCCAATAAAAGTATATTGTTCTTCGGTATTGATGTTCTTCTTGCCTCATATCTCTGTTTACTGTCTCTGTTTTGCGTTTCTTTTTAATTTCTTGTTTTTCTCTGGCTTTGTGTGCTACATGGAGTGTGGAGACTCAAACTGTTGCACATTGATGCAAGGTTCTACGTTGAAACCAGTCAGTCAGTTAGGTGAATATAAAAAGTTAGCCTATTTCATTACTGTATGACTGTAACTTCCACACTCTGTTCATATCTGCTCCTTTACGTCCCCAGTGGAACATAGGGTTTCAAACTAGAGGCATAAAGCTTCGGTAGCAGTGATGTTTTTTTTATGGGATGGGGTTGCTAGCCTCATGTGCAACCTTCTCTCTTTACGAGTCATATTACTGTCTTAGAGAGGTAAAGGAGTATGTTGGCCAGGGATCGAAACCCGAACCACCCGAGTATTTGGTGAATATTCTACCGCTGTACGAAATAAGCACCAATATGAATATAACATCAGTTTATCTTCTTAAGAGCCTTCTGTCATCTACTTTCTATAAATTCATGAGTAGATTTCAATTTTACATACAACGTGGAAAGCAGACTAAAATGAAGTTATAATAGAAAAATATTATCTGGTTAAGTTAAAATGTAGGACAAACAAACTATTGGTTGATTATTTATAGAGAATGTAATATATGGTATCTTTCTTTAATTTAAGTGTAGAACTTCCGCACTTCGGGAGAGTAAGTTTATATGAAATGATACAGCAATGTAGTATTAATTAATAACTGAATGGTGATTCCACTTTGAATCGTTGCTCATAATCATATCGATTTAGTCACATGACTTCATAATTTGTCTTATATGTGTATTTATATATCTTTCTCTTGTTGTTTGTCACCACTTTCCATATCTCCAGCCTAGGCGTTGCATCATTTCGATTGCATATATGAGGTGTTGAATCGACGATAAATAAAGATTCAGTGATTAACTTGTCTCCACCTTACTGTATGACACTTAATTTTTTTCACCCTGTCCCACATTATGATGTGTGATTACATACAAGTGAATGCATTGCAGTGGCTGAGCTTTTTTATAGGTTTTCTTTTTTGATTTACAGCTTGATTCCACACTGTATTTTTGGTACAAGTATGGAATTTTCAGCATGGATATCGGTAGCTCAAATTTTGCAGGCCGACCATAGATATCAGGTGTGCGTCTTTGTCAGGGGATTGAACCTCGAACCATGTGCATGGTCAGCGAGAGTCCTAACCCTAACCACTGTGTGCCACCGATGCAGACTTGGTCAATCATTATGGGTCTAGTTAGATTTTTCTGTCTCAATAATCTAAATGACTCCGATCTGCTAGTTTGACTGATCTATGTTACTGACCCCATTAACAGTCAGCGTTACACGGTATTTGGTAGATTATCTTATTAATGTCACTTAGATATATCAGGTCTTCAAGCCGACCAAATTTATCTCTGAGAAAGTTGGTTGGTTGGTTGGTTGGTTTAAATGCAACCTGAATTCCAGCTTCATTGAGAATCCTGAGTATGGCCTCACTTGCATGTAATCACAGAATAGGTTAAGGGTATTAAAAAGTGATATAGTTAGGTGAAGAGAGAGAGGGAGAGGCTAATCACTTAATCTTTGATTATCGTCGAACCAACAGCTTGTACATGCAATCGAATGATCCAGTGGCCATGCTGGAGACATGGGAAGTGGCAACAAACAACAGAGGAGAGAAGGAGGAATACGTATACAAGTAAAAAATAGTAATAACATTATTTTGAGCAATGTTTATATAATGTACATGATGTTTAGCGGAGTTCATCCTCTTCGTTCAGGATTTTCAAATATAACATTGGTTGACAGTAGTTCGAGAGGTCATTTGGCAACTACTTCGCTACTACGGGGTGCCATCGACAATTATACATCTCATCCAACAGTTATACGACAATGCTGCATGCCAAGTAATCCACAACAAGAAACTCACGGAAGCCTTCGAAGTGAGGATGGGAGTGAGGCAAGGCTGTCTACTATCGACAATGATTTTCCTGATTGCGGTGGATTGGATAATGCGACAGACAACGGGCGATGAGCAAACAGGAATAAAATGAACTCACACAAAAAGAAACTTGGAGGATCTGGACTTCGCCGATGATATATGTCTGATTTCCCACAAACTGGAAGATATGCAAGTGAAAAGCAACAAGCTGGCAGAAGAAGCATCAAAGATAGGCCTTACATCAGGTGAACATAGATAAGACAGACAACAATCAGCCAGCCAGCATGAATGGGAGGAACCTGAAAGAAACAACCTCCACCTACTAACTACCTGGGAAGCATCGTTTCAACTACAGGCCGACGGACTGACGAGGATATCAAAGCAAGAATCGGAAAAGCAAGACAAGCTTTCATTACTCTTAAGTCTGTGTGGAGGTCAACAGCACTCAGAATCAAAAATAACATCCGGATTTTCAACTCCAATGTGAAGTCAGTCAGTGCTACTCTACGGATCAGAGACTTGGCCAGCGCGTCATAAAGAGCATCTCAAACAAACTACAGACCTTCATTAACAGTTGTCTTCGCTCAATACTCAAGATAAGATGGCCGGCCAGAAAAGATCAGCAACACGGATCTCTGGCAATGAGCGAACCAACACAGCAGGAACCGATTGTGAAACGAAGAGACAGGAAGAAATGGAGATGGATTGGCTGGTCATACTCTGAGGAAACCAACCATCAAGTGACATCACTAGACAAGCCATTGCTCGAGTGGAGCCCGATTGGAAGGGAAGTGGCGAGTTGGTCGTCAGTGCAAGGGTGAGGGTGACTTGGAGGAGGTGATGTGAAGAGGAGATGAAAGCATGTGGGCAGACTTGGAGTGGGGTGAAAAAGTTGTCAGAAAACCGAAGGCAATGTAGACGCGCAGCTGAAGCCTTATGTTTCTCAAGGAATTAAAGGATATAATAATAATGATAATAATAATCTGTCTTTTCAGCCCCCCCCTTTACTCTCTTCTTTTGCTTTGTGTATTATACAAGGATATGAAAAAGAGAAGACGTTCAGCGAAGAGACTCTTTTCGACAGTGAATTCATTCACATAGCTAGCTGTACAATCGCATTTATATATAATTATTTGTGTGTGTGTGTGTACATGAAGTTTGTCAAGTTTAGATAATTGATCAGGTATACAAGAATGATCTAATATAGAAACAAGGTTAGTTAGACAGCAACTAAAGTAAGATTGAGTTAGTAAGTTAGATGACGACGTAATATAACTGACTAAAATGTTTCAACTTAGGTCATGATAGCAACAGAGGTAATTACAGTTAGAGACTAAGGAGAAGTGGGGTAGATAATAATGCCATTTAAATTAGAACTGAAATTGAGCAATTAAGTTGGGTGACATAACGTAAATGACTAGAAATTGAGCCTTGGCCAAGTCAGTAACAGTGGTAGTGAGGTGTGGAAATTAAATCGTGTAGGGGTAGAGAACAAGAAAGTTGAAAATGTAAAATATTACAGTTGAGAAGACAAAATAATACTAATGAAGAGACAGAAAAAAAAGATTAGGTAGAATTTACTTGTCGGTAATAAGACAGATTAAGTCCATTGCAATTGTAGTGATTGAACGAATTTCTTCTGTATGCAGAGTTCAGGGCTTAGCAAATTAATCGCCATTGCTTCTGCAGTTTGAAGAAGTCTGATTCGCACACCTTTAGGTAGACTTCTTCCTACTCTGTAGACGACTTTGAAGTTTGTTTGGGGTGTAGCTTGATGTCCGGATTCTATCAGATGTTCTAAGATGGAGCTGCGGGGACATCGTTTTTCTCCTTTGTAAAATCATGTTGGTAAGTGTTCGATGATATGCTTGGAAAGCGAACGCTGGGTACTGCCGAAATACCTGGCTCCACACGAGCAGGATGGACAGTAACAACTTGAACTAGTACACATCTGTGCAAAATAGTTCTATGTTGAAACCAGTCAGTATGTATTGGAGTGTCAATGTCCAATGTTCATTTTTGTTTAAACAGAAACAAATGCGGAATCAATAAATTGAAATCAATCAATGGTTAATTATTATATGTAGTAGAGAATATTATTAATGTAGTGCGAGAATAATAATACTAATAGTAATGCATCAAAAAGATAAATTTACCGGTACTTGTGTTGTAGAAGTTTATTCAGGTAGACCAATATTTTTGCCAGAATGGTGGAATAGTTTAAATTTTCAACAGAAAAGACTATTATCTATATTTATTTTATCAGAAATTTGTTTAACAGCCATGTTTATTATATCTATACAACGGGATAGTTACTTTTTGCATAATTTAAAATTATTTGGATTATATAAATCTGGATATGGAAGTCGAAAAGTGGTATACAATTTATCCGTAAGATTATCCTACAATATTATAACGTGGATTGATTGAGTGCTTGATTGCTTTTGTTGTCGTTGTTGTGTTTTCTATTCGTTTCTATGCACTTTTAAGAAACTGATTGTTTTGTTTTCAGTAAGATGTGTTAGACAATTTACTAAACAGCTTTACTAAACACAAGTCGCGGTAGTCGCCAGCCATGCTCATGTGGTCCACATTCGATTCTCTGCTGTCGCACCTCTAAACCTCGCTTTTTTTCCTTCACGTTCCCAGTTTGGCTTGAAGTTTCTGTAGCAGTGTTTATTTTACAGGATGGGGTTGCTAGCCCGCTTCATGCCCAACCTCCCCTCTTTACCAATCTCACTACTGGCTTAGAGAGGTAAAGGAGTGCGTTGGCGGCCGGGGATCGAACCCTGGACCATGTGCATGGTCGGCGAGTGTCCTAACCGCTGTGCCACCGACGCACTAAACCTCGCTTAACAGATAGTAATTCCGAATAAGAGGGAAGATTACGTATGGATGAGCTTGGCGACCCGACTTCATTAAACCACTCCTGAAACTTTCAAAAGCTAGAAGCCAAATGTTCCGATTGAAATGGAACGAGTGAAAGAAAAATTACAATGTGCTCAATTACCGATTTAGTCAGTCATCAGCTTACCGCCAAACATCTAAATGCTAATCCCAATATACATAAGTAAAAATGGCTGATTTATTTAGAGATACGCTCTAAAGACACTCCGTGGCAAAACTGGGAAGTATTTTTGTCAAATGTACAGAGAAAAGTAACCTGAGTGACTCGGTGGCACAGGTTGGCTCCCCCCCCAACCGGGGTTGCCCCCCCCCACCCCATTTGGGGGGCCAAAATTTGGGCCATCCAAAATTCCATACTTGTACCGAAAATACAGTGTGGAATCAAGCTGTAAATTAAAAAAAATTAAAAAATTTTATTGATTACTTTCGTAAATACCATATACTTTATATATAAAATACGCCTTTTTCAAGTGATTTGTGTATCACACACCTTTGATATTTAAAGTTTAACTCCAACAATTTATATCACAGAATTTGGGATCCAACGATAAGGCTTGTAATTGGACAGGAGTCAATGATATACTAGAGTAGTTGAAGACGTATTTTTCTGGTGTGGCAGGAAAACGTGAATAAGTGTCAGCGGCTTTGAGGCTATTCACGACTGTACAGCCTCTGAAGATGATTACGTCGATAAAGAAAATTTTCTTCGCTGAATCTGTCTTTTATTTACTTCATGACTCCTCAATGGGTATATTCCATGATTTGAATCAGAGCAAGAACCCTGTGACAGTGAAGGAACTTGATACGTTTCTTAAGTTATCTGTCAAATTTGTCATAGCGAATACGAGAATCAGTTTTCTGAAGAGCTGTATTGATAAGAAAGAATATCCCAAGCACTTCTGGAAATGTCTTCGTCGTAATCATATTCACCCAAACCATCGCTCTTTGAAACGCCGTATACTGAATGTCATCGACGAAATAAAATCTCGATTACTGGAGAAAATTAAACAGAGAAGTTTTATGGACTACATCGAGTCAGTTTCAAGAAGACGCTGTGAAGATGTAAGCCTGAAACTCGCAAATAGCCTCAAAGCCGCTGACACTTACTCACGTTTTCCTGCCACACCAGAAAAATACATCTTCAACTACTCCTGTCCAATTACAAGCCTCATCGTTGGGTTCAAAATTCTGTGATATTTCAACAAATTCGAGTGACTTGGATATCAAAGTCCAGTTTGAAGCACTGTTCCAACAATTTATTCTAATATTCCATTGAAGAATTTATTTCTGAATTGTTTAATACAACAACAAGACTTTACATTTGAACGAAATTTAAACTTGTTTACAGGATTGATCAGGAGTGGAAATCGATTTAGTGAACCAATGGAAACTATTAGGCAGTACTGGACAGCCTGTTTCTTCCTGGTGCTTGACACTCTTCACCAATACGCAGCCATCTTCAGAGTTCGAACCCAGGACCTTACGGTTATAAGGCGATTCAACTCGTAGACCATTGAGCCAATAGGACCCAACTCAAAGGCTCATGAATTCCTAATTCCGCCAGTCATTGTCACAAGTGTTGGTTTGCAGGGACTTGACTAGGTTACAGGATTGATTACGAGCTGTTTCGTCCTAGTGCTTGAGACTCTTCAGCAGCGCGCACCCATCGACGAGGTCCAAACACAGGAGCTTCTAGTTAACAGGAGGGATTATAGACCATCAAGCTTTTGGACCTGACCCTGCTATAGGCGCACACTGATGAAGAGTCCAAAAACTAAGATGAAATAGCTTTCCAATACTCCCTGTCGGTTTTCCAATGTTTCTCCAACTAATGTCAGCTGGTGGTCAGTTCATAAGTAGCCAATCAAATCAAATTCTTGCAAACCAACACTTGAAAATTCAAAATTACCGCCTTCCAAAAACTGAATATTGAGAATATATTTGTTTTTATTAACCTCTAAAGTCTCCATAACTGTCTATTTCATTGTTTTGCATTTTTTTTAAATTTTACCTTTCTATTTCAACATTTTATTATAGTATGATGTTACTGTGGGTTATTGGAGATATTCAGGTGATGAAGAACCAGCTTATAAAAATCTTGAAAGACATCCATCACGTGTACAAGATTCTCTATTAATAATAATAATAATAATAATAGTATATTCTCATTTTGTACATGAGAGACGCCAGTTTACAGGCATCATCAATATGATAAATTACATATACGATTAGCAATCATAATTAATAATAATGTTTTAATAAAGTACACATTTTTTCCTACTTGTGTAGGACACACCAAATATACAGGCATGGATAAGCATAAATTAAATTTCATAAATTCGGTTTATGGTTAAGTTACATGGTTGCTGGCGTTTTTGTTTTAATAATAATTATAATAATGTATATTCTCATATAAACATATAAATTTACATGAAAATGCATGCCATTTTTTTAGGTCTGTGGGAACAATATGATAACCAGTCATTCAATGGAGCACATCATGAAATATAGGAATATTGACTTCGCATTAACAAAAAAACCCAAGTAAGTTTTGGATGGATTAAAAATACTTGGGAAAAAATAAAGCTTGAAGTTATTCCACAATATAACAAGTCATTCAATGGAGCACATCATGAAATATAGGAATGTTGTCTTCGCATTAACAAAAAAACCCAAGTAAGTTTTGGATGGATTAAAAATACTTGGGAAAAAATAAAGCTTGAAGTAATTCCTCAATATAACCTGGGTGTGTACAAATCCGAATCTCATTTTTGATTTGATTTATATCCAAATTGGGTAATAAGGAAGCTATTTTTACAGATACGATCAGTTATGTTATAAGCTACAATCGTGAAGTTGTATTACAAATTGATACTTTTCCATTGGTATAAGAGTATATTCCACAAATGTAATCCAGGTTGCGTCGTGGAGAAAGTTAATTCGTTATTAACCAGGCAACTGAAAGATACGGGACCAATAATGTTTGCAGATCATTTGTCATTGTAAATGGTCAAATATCCACATTATTCATTCTCATTCAAAAAGTCAAATGGAAGCTGAAATGGTGAGAGAAAAAAGAAGACAAACAACAGCAACGCAAAAGAAAGCAACGGGAGTCCTTAAGGAGTGATTAATAAATATATACATATATATTCTGTTTAGTAACTGTGGTTATTTTGGTACACAAACTAACTAGTCCCGTTATGCTAACTTTTATATTATGTGTGAACTAATATTACTGTCCTGTGTAGAAATGTTAATCATCTAGTTCCAATAATATTAAAATTTATAATTGTAGTTTGCTGTAACTACACGTTTAAACAACTTAAAATATCTATGTAGGGTGAAAAAGAGGGTGTAAGAGTCAGACGTATAAGTGCATTGTCATCTTTGAGCAGTCTGGTGACTGAGGAGATGAACACTGGAAGTGTGTTTGCATCGCGCACATTAGCTGGTAGTCTATTCCAAATGACTGAAAACTTATTTAAGAAGAAGTTGTACCGCACGTAAGTCTGACAGTGCTCTATAGCAGCTAGGTTGTGATGATTTCTAAGATTGTAACTGACGACAGCGGTAGGTTTAGTTAATGGCTCGGAGGAATGCAAGAGAAGATTAGTTAGCTTATAGTAAAAGATTAGGTTTAGCTTAAGGCGTCTTTTCCAGAGGGGTTCTAATCTTAGTCTTACGCATCTCTCATGGTATTCCAGACTACTTTCTAAACCAAGAGTTCTTGAGGTAAACTGCCGTTGCACTCCCTCTAATTTAAGCTTGTCATTTTGTCTTAGTCCGCTAAGAATAAACGGGCAGTATTCTAAGATAGGTCGGACACATACTTTGTATAATAAAACCCTAGTTTCACAACAAAAGAAATTGCGTGTTATGCATCCTATCAGCCTACGCGTTTTACGTCTGGCATAATCAGTCTGTTCAGCGAACGTTAGGTTACTAGAGTATCTAATACCGAGATCTACGACTGAATTGAGCTTAGCTAGTTTTCGCCCATTTATTTCAAGGTTTAGATCAAGCTTACTGTTGCCGATACAAATCCAGCCGCATTTGTCAATGTTAAAATTTAGGCAGGATTCAGCACACCACGTTGCAAGGCTACTTAGTTCAAGATGTATTTTATCTACCATATCGCTTAATTCATGAGTGTAGCAGGAGTAGACGACTTTGAGGTCGTCAGCATATAGGAATGGTTTACCTGAGGTGAAGCACTTGCAAATGCTGTTAATGTAAACTGTGAATAAAAGTGGACCTAGGACACTACCTTGCACGACCCCACTTGAGATCTGCCTAGGGTGAGACAATACAGATCCAACTTTGGTTATTTGTACCCTGTTGCTTAGAAATGATTTTAACCAGTTCAGTAATGGGTTGCGAATTCCACAAGAGTACAGCTTCTCAAAGAGAATACTGTGAGATACCATGTCAAATGCCCTAGATATATCGAAGTATAGAACAACGACTAGCTTACGTGCTTCGCGATTACTAGTGATGCAGTTGAAAAAGTCGAAGTGGCAAGTAACGCAGGATCTATTTTTGAGAAATCCGTGTTGAGACCTTGTAACAAGATCCTCCCTAATTAGGTAGTCTGACAATTGATCCTTTACAACTTTCTCCATGATTCGTGAGATAACTGGGGTTATATTTATGGGTCTGTAATTGCGGACGTTTGCCCTATCACCAGATTTGTAATGTGGAATTATGAAGCTAGTTTTCCACTCACTAGGGTAAGTGCCAGTGTCCATAGATATTGAGAAGAATTTAAGAAGTAACAGGGGTATATCACACCCACTGTTTTTGACTCGGTGGCACAGTGGTTAGGACTCTCGCCGACCATGCACATAGTCCGGGGTTCGAGCCCGCACCGACGCACACCTGATATCTGTGGTCGGCCTGCAAAATTTGGGCTACCGATATCCATGCTGAAAATTCCATACTTGTACCGAAAATACAGTGTGGAATCAAGCTGTAAATTAAAAAAAATTAAAAAATTTTATTGATTACTTTCGTAAATACCATATACTTTATATATAAAATACGCCTTTTTCAAGTGATTTGTGTATCACACACCTTTGATATTTAAAGTTTAACTCCAACAATTTATATCACAGAATTTGGGATCCAACGATAAGGCTTGTAATTGGACAGGAGTCAATGATATACTAGAGTAGTTGAAGACGTATTTTTCTGGTGTGGCAGGAAAACGTGAATAAGTGTCAGCGGCTTTGAGGCTATTCACGACTGTACAGCCTCTGAAGATGATTACGTCGATAAAGAAAATTTTCTTCGCTGAATCTGTCTTTTATTTACTTCATGACTCCTCAATGGGTATATTCCATGATTTGAATCAGAGCAAGAACCCTGTGACAGTGAAGGAACTTGATACGTTTCTTAAGTTATCTGTCAAATTTGTCATAGCGAATACGAGAATCAGTTTTCTGAAGAGCTGTATTGATAAGAAAGAATATCCCAAGCACTTCTGGAAATGTCTTCGTCGTAATCATATTCACCCAAACCATCGCTCTTTGAAACGCCGTATACTGAATGTCATCGACGAAATAAAATCTCGATTACTGGAGATAGAAAGAAATATTTCACTAAGAACACATGCTCTATATGAGCTGACAGAAGACGAGCAGAGAAGTTTTATGGACTACATCGAGTCAGTTTCAAGAAGACGCTGTGAAGATGTAAGCCTGAAACTCGCAAATAGCCTCAAAGCCGCTGACACTTACTCACGTTTTCCTGCCACACCAGAAAAATACATCTTCAACTACTCCTGTCCAATTACAAGCCTCATCGTTGGGTTCAAAATTCTGTGATATTTCAACAAATTCGAGTGACTTGGATATCAAAGTCCAGTTTGAAGCACTGTTCCAACAATTTATTCTAATATTCCATTGAAGAATTTATTTCTGAATTGTTTAATACAACAACAAGACTTTACATTTGAACGAAATTTAAACTTGTTTACAGGATTGATCAGGAGTGGAAATCGATTTAGTGAACCAATGGAAACTATTAGGCAGTACTGGACAGCCTGTTTCTTCCTGGTGCTTGACACTCTTCACCAATACGCAGCCATCTTCAGAGTTCGAACCCAGGACCTTACGGTTATAAGGCGATTCAACTCGTAGACCATTGAGCCAATAGGACCCAACTCAAAGGCTCATGAATTCCTAATTCCGCCAGTCATTGTCACAAGTGTTGGTTTGCAGGGACTTGACTAGGTTACAGGATTGATTACGAGCTGTTTCGTCCTAGTGCTTGAGACTCTTCAGCAGCGCGCACCCATCGACGAGGTCCAAACACAGGAGCTTCTAGTTAACAGGAGGGATTATAGACCATCAAGCTTTTGGACCTGACCCTGCTATAGGCGCACACTGATGAAGAGTCCAAAAACTAAGATGAAATAGCTTTCCAATACTCCCTGTCGGTTTTCCCATGTTTCTCCAACTAATGTCAGCTGGTGGTCAGTTCATAAGTAGCCAATCAAATCAAATTCTTGCAAACCAACACTTGAAAATTCAAAATTACCGCCTTCCAAAAACTGAATATTGAGAATATATTTGTTTTTATTAACCTCTAAAGTCTCCATAACTGTCTATTTCATTGTTTTGCATTTTTTTTTTTTAAATTTTACCTTTCTATTTCAACATTTTATTATAGTATGATGTTACTGTGGGTTATTGGAGATATTCAGGTGATGAAGAACCAGCTTATAAAAATCTTGAAAGACATCCATCACGTGTACAAGATTCTCTATTAGAGCATTTACATGTAGCCATTGAATTATGGCATTATTGTACACATTTAGCACATCGTTCATTAACATGTTATAATTCTGCATTTATACTACTTACACTGGGTATAAGTATACTCTTTATTATCCCATTTATTGGTATATTTAATCGTATTATCATGATTAAATTATCAATATGTAGTGGAATAATCTTGGTATTTTCATTATTATTGATTACTGCAGCAACAAAAGAATATCGAAATTGTATTATTAGTCGTGTAGACTCGGGTAAAGAACATTATCATGGAAAGGTAGTAGATGTTCCCTATAAAGGAAGATATTTTTACCAACTTATACTGTTGACTATCATACATTTATTGGAAATACTGTCACTGGGAGTTTATATCTTCTGTTTGTAATTTTGCCAGGAATAAAACTGTTAGTCAGTAATAGAAATAACTTATAAGGGGGCGAAATGGAACATTTTTTCCTGTTTTGCTTTCGTTTTCTGTCTTTTTTTGGTTGTTGAATGGAATTCAACTAAAAAGTAGAATAAAATCAATAGTATCCTATCATCTAGATGAAGATATGTATACAGTAGAGGAGATATGAATCTAGACAAAGTCTACTTTTTATTACATAAGGCTTGAAACCTTATCATTATCGATAGTTAATAAATATATTCCAAAAAAATAATTTATAACTTTTTTAATTGTAATATATGTGTAAAACCTGGGCACTGTGGTACTAAGTAATTCCATATTAGTTTGTTTATTAGATGTATCACACAGTGAGTATTATTATTATTATTTTATCCTTTAATTCCTTGAGAAACATAAGGCTTCAGCTGCGCGTCTCCACGTCGTCATCTAACTTACTAACTCAATCTTACTTTAGTTGCTGTCTAACTAACCTTGTTTCTATATTAGATCATTCTTGTATACCTGATCAATTATCTAAACTTGACAAACTTCATGTACACACACACACACACACACAAATAATTATATATAAATGCGATTGTACAGCTAGCTATGTGAATGAATTCACCGTCGAAAAGAGTCTCTTCGCTGAACGTCTTCTCTTTTTCATATCCTTGTATAATACACAAAGCAAAAGAAGAGAGTAAAGGGGGGGGCTGAAAAGACAGATTATTATTATCATTATTATTATATCCTTTAATTCCTTGAGGAACATAGGGCTTCAGCTGCGCGTCTACATTGCCTTCGGTTTTCTGACAACTTTTTCACCCCACTCCAAGTCTGCCCACATGCTTTCATCTCCTCTTCACATCACCTCCTCCAAGTCACCCTCACCCTTGCACTGACGACCAACTCGCCACTTCCCTTCCAATCGGGTTCCACTCGAGCAATGGCTTGTCTAGTGATGTCCCTTGATGGTTGGTTTCCTCAGAGTATGGCCAGCCAATCCATCTCCATTTCTTCCTGTCTCTTCGTTTCACAATCGGTTCCTGCTGTGTTGGTTCGCTCATTGCCAGAGATCCTCAGTTGCTGATCTTTTCTGGCCGGCCATCTTATCTTGAGTATCGAGCGAAGACAACTGTTAATGAAGGTCTGTAGTTTGTTTGAGATGCTCTTTATGACGCGCTGGCTAAGTCTCTGATCCGTAAAGTGAGTAGCACTGACTGACTTCACATTGGAGTTGAAAATCCGGATGTTATTTTTGATTCTGAGTGCTGTTGACCTCCACACAGACTTAAGAGTAATGAAAGCTTGTCTTGCTTTTCCGATTCTTGCTTTGATATCCTCGTCAGTTCCGTCGGCCTGTAGTTGAAACGATGCTTCTCAGGTAGTTAGTAGGTGTAAGTTGTTTCTTTCAGGTTCCTCCCATTCATGCTGGCTGGCTGTTGTTGTTGTTGGTGTTGGCCAGGAATCTTCATCATCTCTGTTTTATCTATGTTCACTTGATGTAAGCCTATCTTTGATGCTTCTTCGGACAGCTTGTTGCTTTTCACTTACTTGCATATCTTCCAGTTTGTGGGAAATCAGACATATATCATCGGCGAAGTCCAGATCCTCCAAGTTTCTTTTTGTGTGAGTCCATTTTATTCCTGTTTGCTCATCGCCCGTTGTCTGTCGCATTATCAGTCTACTGCAATCAGAATTATCATTGTCGATAGTAGACAGCCACACAGTGAGTGAAACAGCATTATTTTATAGATGACAAAGTTTCGAACACAATTTATTACTGTTCATAATCATTTCATCAATTATAATCACAGGACTTCGAAATGCTCGGAGTGGAGCTACGCCTGACTTCCACAGTATTTAAATTTCAAGGGAAAATATACAAACAAACTGAGGGAGTTGCCATGGGGTCACCAATATCCCCAGTTTTAGCAGATATATTCATGGATAGGTGGGAAAGCATATCGATTGAATTGTTCAATCCCATTCCAAAAGTATGGTAGAGATATGTAGATGACAGATTCTCACTGTAATTAGAACACAGGACATAGATAGATTCTGTGAACACATTAACACAAAAATGGAGGCTATTCAATTCACACTTATGAATTGGAAAGTCAGGAAGGGGAACTTTCAATGTTAGATTGTAACGTAGAAAGGGAAGAAGATGGGAAGTTAAAAATTAGTGTGTTTACAGAAAACTCACATATTCCAACAGATATTTAGACTTCCGATCATCCCACCCATTCTATGTCAGTAAAAATAGGATTGGTGAAATGTTTAAGTGACAGAGCACAAAAACTAAGTAGCACCAAAGAAAATCTAAGTCAGCAGGTGAGACATATAAGAGAAGCCTTGAAACATAATAATTACCTTGATAAACTAACCAGAAAGTATGTAGGGAAAGGTAAAAATAAAATGAATAATGATAGCAGTGATAGTGATAATAATAATAATTTTGCTTTATTCCAAAAACAGTACTAATGATACAGCAAAGAATTTTCAGCATTCAGTGCAACATTGCATCCAATTTACTCAAAAACGACAAAAAACATTACATAGTAATAATAATAATAATAATAATAATAATAATAATGAAACGTTGTTATAGTAGCTACATAGCAAAATACTGTATGCAATTCGGAGCAAAATATGCATAAAGTATAAAATTGTAGTAATAATAGTAATAACAACTAAAATAAAATAGCAAAGTTATAATTAAACGATAGAAAGTGTGACACCATAAAATACAGAAAGATGAACAATGAAAGGGTCGATTCACTGTGCTAATTACATAGTAACTTATGTGTTTCACGTCTAACAGAATCTTCGCCACATAAAGTACGGGCTAAATAGGGTATTTTAGAATTTCTGTACTTAATGGTACGAGCATATAACTTTTTATATTGACTTCTCGTCGTACCTGATGAGATACAATGGGATAGTTGTGAATTAATGACGACATCCATGTCAAACATTCGCAAGATAACGACAACACCAACAATAAGGAATCTAAGGCATCAGTAGTAATTCCATACAAGGAAGGAACCTCGTAAACCTTACGCAGAATTTTTAACAAGGCAGGAATAAAAGTGACATTCAAACCAACCGCAAACTCAACTCAATTAAAAACAAGCTTTGTCGGTTCAAGGAAGAATCCTGTTGAACCTTTAAAACAAAACAATTTAGTTTATCTAATACCCTGTCTGCAATGATTGTCAGGTCAAATACATAGGTCAAAATAGTAGAACAGGGGCAGTCAGACTAGCCGAACATAAAAACGAGCAAAATCTAGATTGGTTGACCCAAATAAGATAAGAAATCTTCAGAATAGTTCAGCCATAGCATTCATTACATGCAATCACACACAATAGGATGGATGGTATAAGATGACAGTTTTAAAATCTAATATCACAAGGTGGAGGGCGAGATTGATAACAGAAGCTTTGTTTATCGAATCAACTGCAAATATGTGTAATAGGAATGGTTCAACACCTGTCCCAGATATCTGGAAAATTATACTACCCCTACGACGACAAATAGGACAGAACAAAGGAAAAACTCAAGTTTCGAAGTCGTGTGATTCAACACCTATCCGGCCGAACATCTGGAAAATTTTATTACCCCTAAGACGATTAATGGGAAAGAATAAAACAAACTATAGATCTCAAGTTTCGAAGTTGTGTGATTATAAGTGATGATATGATTATGAACAATAAATTTTGGTCGAAACTTTTTCATCCAGTAAATAATAATACTGTTTCATTGTTTGTGTGATACATCTAATAAGCAAACTAATGTAGAATTACTTCTTCAGTTCTGTGATGAAAAATAACCAAACAGCCATGTAGTTCAATTCAGTGAAGAAACCCTCTTTTTTGGGTGGCGAATTCATTTTCTTATCTAGCTAGTTATACATTCAGAAATTTTATATACAATCGTAGTAAAAAACTTGAGGAGCTATCACAAGCATAGTTGTAGTCAGGATGCATACAAAAATGATTGAAAATATGGAATAGAAACAAATCAAACAAACAATAGTCAAAACAGTAGAAATCAACACGGTTGTTGTTATTGTTATAAGAATTAAGTTTGTGCACTGTGGTAGAGAATAATTCCATTATGGGTAAATTTTTGTTTTGATAAAGTCTCACAGTGTTATACAGTAATGTTTACTGATGACCCCGTTTCGAGCACAATTTATTACTGCTCATCATCATATCAAGGTATTCACACGACTTTCTAACATCATTTATATAGTTCCAAAGTTTTCAGTTGATATTTGCTTGCTTCGATTGGTTGTAGTATTTTGCATACTTCGGGTATGATTGATGACTCATTCCTATAGCATGTGTTTGGTGTAGATTCGATGAACAAGGATTCAGTAATCAACCTCTCTCTCTCCACCTATCTAGATTACGTTTTAGAATTTTAACCCTCTCCCACCATGCTACTGTGTGGTTGTGTGTTAATGCATGCATTGCAATTGCTGAGCTTTTTTCTAAGTTACTTATCTTTTCAGGGTCAACCATTTTTACTCTAGCTAAATTCTTATGCTCTGACAATCTGACTACCCCTGACCTACTAGTTTGACCTATGTAGTTGACCTCACAGTCATTGCAGGGTATTTTGTAAATAATATTATTTTGTCTAATTGGGTCAACTGGGAGAGTCCCTGAGTGAGTTTGTAGGTTTAAATGCCACCCTAATTCCTACTTTATTTAGAATCCTACGTAGGGTTTCAGATGTCCCCTCTTTATATAGTATAACTGTAGATGACTTATATTCTCTCTTATTTATGTTATTATTACTAGTTTCACAATTATTTTTATTTTGTTTTTGGCCTTTAATGATCTTCCTAATGAATTCTAAAGGATAGTTATTTAACACCAAAGCCTCTTCTATCTGTTTTAGTTCATCATTTAGGTCTTTTCTTGTGCTACTTAGTGCCATTGCTCGGTTTGTTAAACATTTCACTAAGCCTGCCTTAACAGTTAACAGATGAGATGAATTAAAGTCTAAGTATCTATTAGAATGAGTTGGTTTTCTGTACACACTAGTGTGTAGTTTACCTTCTTCTATTCGTTTTATTTTACAATCTAACATAGCTAATTCTCCTTGTTCATTTTCCGATTAAAATGTGAATTTTATTCCCTCCACTAGTGAGTTTATGTGTGTCAAGAAGCTAGAGGTATGTTCTGTTTTTAACACTGTGAAAATGTCATCCACATATCTCCACCATATTTTTGGAGTAGGAT